GATTATCCTCTCCTAGCAGATGCTCCGGACTTCCCTCAGCTGGCCCGAGACTGTATCACTCCCCACCCCTCCTCTCACAAAACACATATCCTAAAGCTTTTAATTCACTAACCAAGTTGTGCTGTGGGTTTTTTTAGGGCAGAAACTCTAAATATGAGCATGGAAATGGTTTTATGGCACTGCGTATACTACTACTACTACTAAACATCCACTGGGCATGAGAGATCAGTGTAAGACTGCTGCAAGTTGAATGGCTCAACTGGGGTACCCAGCACTTTTAGACTAAGTAGACTCAGTGTTCACAGAATAATTTCACAGCTATCCTTGAAGAATCCTCCCTCACTACCCTCAGGAAAATGGCACATCATTGCCACTAAATACAAATATTGTGTCCTTGGCTAGTAGGTAGAAGAGAGGCATCAATGTTGCCTCATGTTGTTCAAGGCACATATTTTATCAGTTTATCTTTCCCTTAAGCAGTATGACAGGTAAGAAGGACACTCAGGATGCAGATCTAGACAACTTTCCGAACTACAGTCAATTTAAGCTGGAGCCCAATCCCACGATGCACTTCCTAGTCTCTACTCCCAGAAAGCTCCCGCGACACTTTGGGCCACCGAGGCCGGGTCCCGTGTGAGGCTGCTAGGTGTGGAAGGGGACAGAAATCTGAACAAGGGAACATGTAATTGATCAACTGGTCCAAGGCCAGGGAAATGCTTGCAAGTGCACAGGGAGCCTATTTCACATCCCTTGTGCTTGTAATACATCATCCAGACACTATGACAATTTTGCCTCCAACTTCAGATATGCCAGTAGAGCTACCCTAGTCTGCAGGGGTGCTGTGTGCTGGTAATCTCCATGACTTCCAGTGGAAACTGTTTAGCTGAAAAGCAGCAGCAGAGAACAAGTCTGCCCCAAACAGCTGCCCGTCTCTGTGAGAGAGAGTCTTCACAGTCTACTGTGAAGACTGCAAAGTCTTCTCTACTCTGTAAATAAGAGCTTGGTCCTTCCTTCCCCCATTCTGCTGAATACAGGTCACTTTTTTAAAATCTTGAGACAAGCAGATGCAACCTACTGCACTCGTTTTACTCTGGCAGCGGGACAGTGGCTCATCTCATTGCCTGAGGACTCTGCCAGATGGCATCCGGCTATCATACCACTCGCCACTCAGCCTCCAGCCTGTCTATGCATGGCAGCAGAGCCACGAGTTGCTATGCCCACTCAGCCTCTGGCTGTCATATTACCACATCATGAAGGTTATTACCAGCAGAAGCAACTTGAAGCAGCTGTGAAGAGTTCAGCATTCAGTTTTCCAGCACCAGTTCAAAAGAACAGGGGTGCTGCGTTAGACCAAATTAAACCTTTCTCTTCCCTATCCAGAACTGCACTTGGTGACACAGGACATCTCTCGCTGTTCTATTCCTACAGCAGGCATGTCTTGGCCATTGTCTAGGCTTTCCCAGCATTTCATCTAAAATTGCCTACAAAAGCCTTTCAATTTTAATCATTTAAATAAACATGCTCCTTTTGTTCAGCAAATATACAGCTCTGTATACATGCATCCCCAAGAATGGATTAAAAAACAACCAGACCACACCATCTTTCTCATTATGCAAGTTGTTTAGAAGCACAGGAAAGTGAAATTGCTGTCACTCCATTATTTCCACCGCTTAAGTGGATAGAAGACAGACAGGAACGTTATGCTTCTCTGAGCTTTTTCATTCACTGTTTTATGAAGCCCTAGGCCTTGCTTGCTCTGTAAGAACTTACTGAAGTGATGTGCCTATTTTTGTTAAGCCACATGCTTTTTAAAATAATGTGTAAACTCAAGCATACATAACAGTAATGAGCCTAGGTGGCTAGCTTGACATTCAGACTCATCACTTGTGAAAAATGACAGTCACCATTTGGCAATCTTTTGGCTGGCAGAGGAAGAAAATAGTTTGAAGTTCAATTCAATTGACTTAACCTGAAGATGATGAATATACAAAATAAAAGTAACACTAGCCAAATGCAGTGTAGAATAGAGGGCCAAGATAGGATTTTACAGCACTTTTAAGAAGGTCAGAGTTTGCAAATCCTAAAAACGTGTTTAAAAAAACAAGAGAGACCAAAGTTTCCAGCATTTACAGGTTGATAAAACTGTTCCTGTCGTACCCAGGATTTATGAGCATGATTTGCTGTACTGCAGAACAAGTAACGCTGCAGGATATGAGATTTCATTACGAAGAAATGAGATCGGGAATTGGCTGTGACCGAGACAGGTGAAAACAGATCTTTTACCTATAAAAGCTCAAGTGTACTCTGTATTCTGCAGTCTAGACAGACCACACTGTTTTCTCATCAGTTCTTTCTGCTACACTGGAGCACTTACTTTTAAATGAACTCTGTCCTGCAATCAAGCTGTGAAGCAGTATAAAAATGTATGCCACATCTCCCATTAGCAAGATGACGCATTGCAGAGTATACGACAGGAATCCTCGGGGAATACTTTGGGATTAGAAGTGAAATACTGCACAGATGGGATTGTTGGGTAAAGGAATTCCCTCTGCCCCACATAGGGCTCAGAACATTCAGAGCTTTTACATCAATAGGCAAGATCAGGCCATTTTACCTGTAAATATTTAAAGTACAGGCAAAAAGACATGACATACTTGAAAATCTGAAAAGATAGGACAGTTATACAGATACAGATACTTGTGTTGCTCTTTTTTTCCTCCTAACTACCAAATATTCAGTGACTTCTAGGGAAGCTGTATGCAAACATATAAGGAGAAGGACAGAGTTCTCATGCAAATTATTAGAAGCTAAAGATCAGGCCCCATTTCCCTCCTCCATACTAACCTAAGATTGAACCACAATTACTCTCTGGATACACTCACTCTCTCAACCATCAGCAGTTAAAATCTAGATTTGCTCTCTGGCAGATTACTAGAGCTACAGCATTGTCTACTGTTGAGAAACAGGTTATACAACCTGTAAAGCCAATAAAGCTCCCAGACAAGTCCTGTGAGTGTTTATGGGAAGATACTGCGCCTTTCCATTGTAGCCCATCTAGTCATTGTTGTCCTCAGTATCAAGAGATCAGGTAACCAGAGGATTTGCAAAGGCTCAGAGGGCAGCAACGTGCTAACTCCAGCTGAATGCCAAGGGGAGCGGGACCTGACTTGTAAACCCCCCCACCTGACACAGGCCAGTGCAAGGTATTAGCACCATGGCACCAAGCTCATTGTTCAAGTATTCCACCAGTAGCTTTGGGTTTCCCTATACATGATTGAGTCTAGCCATCATTTTCATGCTTAGACTTGGATTTTGAAATGCTTGTACTGAACTCTTATAGGAGTGTGTGAGCCTCTTTCTCACTAAACATCTCCCTTCAGCTCCCTGCTGATCTAAAATACTTTATTAAAGTTTTGATGTCTCCTTTTGATTATAACAGATCTAGCCAATTTAGGAGATAACTGTGGAGTCCCAGAACAGAGCCAAAGTTTGCAAGGTCGCACCAAGTACACCCCTGGTGCCTCCCAGTGCGGTCACTGCTGACCGCTATTTGCCTGGGGTATTCCACAGATCCCCAGTGACGCAGGCTCCACACAACCTCCACAGTCAATCTTTTTCCAGTGTACCACTATCCTTATTTTTTTGCCTCTTAATAGGAAACATGAACTTGTGTTGCTGCAACTGGAAGCCATCACATCTTGTCCTACCCATCATAGACAAGATTAGCCCCTTCTTCTAAGAGCTCATGAAGACTTGTTTCTCTCTTGGACTTTTTCTCCCCTTTAAGATAAAAAAATTCAATTCTTTCAGTCTTTCCACAGTCCTGCTTCCTATACCCTTAGCCATCCTTGATGCTCTTTATTAGTCTTTCTCTTGTTGTTCTGCCATTTTCTTGAAGTATAATGCATAGTAACAGTCTTCCAAGATAAGGCTTTGCCTATGCTCACAGAAGTGAAGGCATCCCTTCAGACATCTTCCAAGCTTTGCTGCCACGTATACATCACAAGATGACAACTTCTTTGCAAAAGTATGCAAAGCATATTCATCTTCAATTTCCACTCCAAAGCCACTGTTTCCAGTTCAGCTTATAGCCATAAAGGACCAGTAGCAAGTTATCATTTGGCAGATGACTGCTAGTTGGTAGTCTCTGCTCAATTCCACATGAATTCCCCTACTCTCCACGGGCATGGAATATAGGCCCACGTTAAGTGGTCTACTACCGCACAGCATTCATTTGCTCAGACCTCTTAAAGTGTAGGTGGGGATGCCCAGAATGAACAGGCTAAATTTTGTACTATCCTGATTTCCTGCAGGAATTCTACTCTTTTAAGACTAATAAAGAAAAGATCATGCTGCCTCTGCCTACTTTTTGCAACCAGACTTCAGTCATGTCAGTGGTTAATTGGTAACTTTGACACATATATATGAATTTAAAAAAACCAAACCAAAACAAAACTTATGCTAAAACATGTCCCCATGCAAACAGTCACACATCATTTCTTTTTCTACAGTATCTTTTGCACCAAGCACTTCAAAAATATTAATCCTCGCAACCTCTCTATGAAAAAGCATTAACATTTCCTTTATCAGATAGAGAAACCACAGCTTAAAGAGAGGTTAAGTCAACTGCCCAAAGACATAGAGAGTGAGTTGATGACAGGTTTAGATATCAGTATCTTTCTTATGCTAAGCACATTTATGTTGAACCTGCAGAGAATGGACAGCTCTGTAACACACTTCAATCCACAGCTATGCACAAAATCTGTTTTCTCCTTGATAATGAGATGCAAATACCGTGCAAAGAACAGTACTCAATACCAAATGCACACACCTGATCACACAGCACAATCAGAGTCTAAAAGGAGAGCACTGTCCTACATAGCTGTCTGATGGCACCTACCCCCACAAAATACATGACTGTGCACATTCAAACTAGTAAGCTAGATACACTTTACCAGAGGAAAACATGTCCTTTTTAAGCCCTTTGGTTTGAACCTTACCTTTCCACAAGCCACCATGGACAGGGCAAGCTGGTACCAGAGGTGAAATTCATCAAACGCAAACTTCATGGCTCTCTCCAAGCACTGAGAAATAAATGGTGGGAGAAATGTCAGACTTTGTTCGTTTTTTTTTTTTTTTAAATACCTTTTGTCAAGACTGCTGCTTAGCTCAATAATCAAATCGGGGGAAACAATCTGCTGTGGCCCAGGTGGTTTTTTTTTTTTTTATGACATCATTTTCCTCTTCTCAGTTAATGGGGCTTGCTAGCATACACCATCACTTCAAATGACAGCCATTTTGTTCATGTGCCTACCTGGAAATTATTTTAATGTCTCAAACAGTTCTGTGTACATTTCTGGCCTGTGCTGCCATAGGTCTGTAGCTGTTTCTACTAATTGCCAACTAGCGTGCTTCATTTTCACCTTCCCGGACAAGTTACTGCAAAGACAGGCTTTGCTTGCACGTCTCAAGTGAAGTCTCAGCAGAAGCCAGGAGGAGGTACCTCAGAAAGCATGACATACTGCCCTCTTCTGCCCAGCGTGATACTGAGGAGGTCGTAGACTGCAGAAGCATCCCGGAGGCTGACAGCTCGGTCATCCTGCTGGTCTGGGGCTCGGCTGATCACTGCATCCCGGTTTGCCTGGGCACAGGACGCAAATGGAGCATCAGACCGCAAAAGAGCAAGTGAGAACCAACTCTTCCATAGGAAGTTCCACCCATATCCGAGGCATTTTGTTTAAAATCTTCTCAAGATATTTTTTTAACTCATCCCAACATAAGGAAGGTGTTTCCATAGAGTTGCTTTTTAACCACGTGAAGCAAACTCAAGAAGACAGCTGTACGTACAGAAAGGAACTGCTAGGAATACCTCATCTATCACAGAATTAGAGTGTCAGGAAACAGACCTACCATATCCCATTTCCTCAATAATTAGAAATGCGAGGCCACCCTTACACCACATTCCTTATTACTTCAATTGCCTGCAACTGTGATAAAATATCAACCACAGAAGCAGTTATCTTCTGCGCCTGCACTTGACTTCTTCCCAGTAGCATGTGGGTTTGTTCTTTTCTGCTATTCACTTTTTAATTTGAGCAGGTTGCCTTAGTAATCAGATTTGCCTGTCACCAATTTAATGCAATTAGAGGTCTGGGCAATGCAATACCAAATAATTTATTTTTAAAATATCTTATAAGTGTTAATTTTGTATAATCTATCAGGGCATTGCTCAGCCTAGATCAAAAAGAAACATTACTTCTGACAGAAAATGATCAGTCAAGCAATTTGCAAGGATATCCCAAAATACCATATGCCATAGACTCAGGTTCACCCCAAGATCCCAGCATCTCTGTTTTCTGAGCACAAAGAGGGAGATTTCAATCCCAGAGTAAATGGAAAAGTCCCTCTGATTTCCGAACACGAGAGGACTTCACCCAGACTGCCTAACCTCTGAGAGAGGCAGTACTGGATGCCACTGAGCACTAGCACTGACTGATAGTGCAGATACGCTGCCCTGGGCTCCTCAGCTGAAAGGGGCGCAACATCAGACATTCAGGTCTAGACACCTAAAAGATCAGACAAAGTAGAAGATTGCCAGCAGTTTCACCTGGGGCAAAGACAAACAAAGACAAAATGTTCCCTCCCTGAAGCAGGGAGGTTATGAGATGTATTTTATAATACTTACTACTATAATCTTACATCTATTTCTTTCTAACTGCAGGGAGATTTTTTTTTTTCCTAAAAAGGTTAAACATGGGAATTAAGTGTAATAAAAATTTCCAGAATATGCAGGCCTTAAAGCCCACGCATATTTCACTGTGATTAAGCTGCAGCTGTTTCATCATGATATTATCTGTGTAATGCCCCAGTTCCAAGCACTCTTCATCACAGCCTCCTGCCAAGACAGCAAACACAATTACTAACAACTACCACGATCACAACCAAGAGCTAAATGGCGACTGCAGTTAAAGGCAAACTGACAGGTCAGGCTCAGTCTAGTGTTTGCACAAATAAACTTACACCAACTCTTATAGCAACAAGAGCGTTTTTCACATTACTGCAAAAGACATAATTTGTGATTTAAAAAAAAAAATTCAGAACAATAGGTTGCATGAGAGAATGAAACCAAATTCAAAGATAAAATCCTGCAACCAGAGTACAGCAGCATAGCTCATCTATCTTTATTAGCAGAACTAAACAAATAAGAATAAAAAAATAAACAGACATTTGAGCTCTGGATTTAACCCAAGACTGCATCTTTAAAAGGAAAAAAGGAATTAAAGGCATATACAGAACGATTCTGAGATTGTTACTTCAGAGAATTAAAAACAAAGCACATACAGAACGGTCCTTATTGCAGACTGAATCCTCCTACACATATACAATAGCATTAACATTTTTTTTCTGCACTGGTTACATTGTTATGACAATTGTTTGTAGAAAATAGCTACCGAGGTAGCACCCCCATGCTCTGTAATCTTATTGTCAACCTCCCATTAGAGTCAGCTATAGCCTGATGCTTTTTTTGGGTATCCATCTAGTACCAAGCTATGATTTTTAAGTTGATGCATTAGCATAGATAGAAAATTAATCAGAACCAGTGAGTGCCCATTAACGTCTGCTAACAGATACTGGTACTAGAAGGAAAAGCATGCCCAAATCCTGCAATAAGCAGGAATATGAGACATACTACAAGGATGCAACATTCTAAAATTGCAGTCATACTGAACATACTGTACATACCATACTTTACCTAAGCAGACAGCAGTTCAAACCAACATATGCACAGGCATGACTAATACTCTTTCCAAGAAGGTCATAAATCTGCTTATTTTCTTCAAGCTTTCAGATCGCCAAGCCATAGAAGGTCTCTGTAATCTATCACTCTCTATACTTGCATTCATAAAAGTTACCACTGAGTAAATTCATCGTCACTTCTATTCCAACAATTTTTTTTAATACTGAACCTATTTTCAATTGCTAATTCCAGCTGCTCAAAAAAATCAACACGTTCCTGCATTATCACAGATATATCAAAAAAAACCCAAAACCAAACCTCATAACAAACTGACTGCACTGTAGCAAGAACATGGAGTGTGTCTGACACAATAACGTAAATCATCCCAAGATTCAAGGTATCATTTACTCCTGCAGTGTTACATACATGAGGGTGGAGAAGGGAATGTGAATCACTTTCTTGAAACCCACTCAGGGAAATTGGCATTTCTGTGGTCTGCCTCTCACAGAAGGAAGAGTGCTGTGATCCAGATCACCATTAGCCAATTTTTTTTGTCTTTACCTTTGTTTATGTTTTTGTAAACTTCAGTTTGGCAGTGAGAAATCCTGACAGTTACTGGTTAAGTACAGGTACAAAACAGTTGTAGAGTTACTGCAACACAGCATACACCGATTCTGTTGGCTGGGGAATTTTACTTACTCAAACCTACATAGAGAGAAAAATATTTCATTTTGCTTTTGAGAATGCATAAATTCTAACCTATTTACACCAACATTTTTTCAATGCCTGTGTTTCTGTTGTTTCAGACCACTAATTTTCCTGAACACAGATGGAAAAAGGGTTATTTGTAGAATACTGATCTCCAGTGTATCAATAACATGAGCAGCAATTCCCAATTTGTCCTACTGCATTACTTCCTCCTCCTCTGCTACAAGCAGCAGTAAAACATTGCTACAAATACATGTTCAACACCCCCAGCATGACTCTTCCCTTTAAGCTGTTCCCATTGTCACACAGACATGCCTCGCACCACACGAGCGGGATGGAGAGAGATGGTGAGTCACACCATTAAAAGAAGAGAACCTCTGTTCAGGGCTGCTGTGTGGGATGGAAAAGGTCACTAATGCTACCAACAGGAGTTTTACCATTGGGAGTTAGCGTAACTTGCACTATAGAGAGAAAAAATATACAGTCAATGCCTCTTTATTTGAGGTACTGCTAGGGAATGGAGCAACCCAGAGGTGCATTGCATTTACCTATTTTGGGATGCATTAGACACAATTAGCTGTGCATGCAGGTGGCTCAGACAAGACACCAATCCTATTTTGGGAGATAAGACACACTCTGTAGTCAGCCCAGACTGAGCAGCACACAGGATAGCAAGCACCTTCAGCCCTCCCTTTCCACAGCCCAGGGACACAGCCCATCTGCAGGCCACACACATCCAAAAGGCTCCAGCACAGACTGGTACCCCCGAGCCACCCCAGCGCTCAGCCATGCTGATGTCTCTGCATCATGCTTGAAGCCCAACTCAGGTGTTCAACCTGACTGGGCTCAGAACCAGCTGGGGTTCAGCTTGGGTTTTTTTAGGTCTGGCTCCAAACTGCAGCAATACAACTGTATAGGACTTTCAGAGCCATGCTGGCTCTGACAGCAGGGAAGAGATCTGCCTTTCTGGGGATCTGCAATTTAACTAATGACCCTGCTGAGCTACAGACAGCTTCTGCCTTCCTATCCACATAAACAATATACTTACCTGCAAACTAGATAAGCCACCTATATGCGGAGGATTTGCTGTACATCAATGACCCTGATAATTACAGCTTATTTATGGCATGTTTATTACATGTAGAAAGGAAAAGAGCCACAGCAAATCCAAACAGACATTACTTCAGCAGTTATTACGCATGCAGTTACGCTGCAGAAAATTAAATTTTACCACAGTACAAAGATGTGCTTCTTAATAGAACGTCAAGCAATCGTATGAATTACAATAGAGCGTATTCCACGTAGCAGCCCCTTCTCAGAGCAGTTAGCTATGAAGTATCCTTTAATTGCTCACTTTGAAACATGGCTCCCCTGCTTTTTTTCCAAAGAAGAAAAAGAAAGCAATTAAAATCTTTAATGAGTGCCTGCTGCCTGCCCCCTAATTCATGGGCATTCTAATGTTCAACTTGTGTCTTTTCATAATAGACATAATTGCCAGATCCACTGCAACCCATCTATACAGAATGGCAGCATGTTTTATACAGTGTACTGTAACAATGTAATTGGTGTGATTCAATACTAGCATTAAGAGAGAAAAACAAATGCTATGTGTGTAAGACTGACAACAAGCTTTTGAAATCATGCAATTGATGCCTCTACTACTAAAAGCTGGGAAATATTTAGCCCATGTCCTTTGGATCTCCATTCTGCCTCTTTTGCCTGTACTGCCAATAAAATGAATGAATTCTTTGCAAAGACAAGGACCCATTCACATGGAAGAGGCTACTGACTTTTCACCTAAGTTACTGATGGTCTCTACACAGCACTTGAAGGTTCCCCTCGCTAACATATACAAAGAAAATATTCAGGGTTGACTGCAAAGCTGCTGTGAAAATGGGAAGCAGGTGGAACAGGAAGGAAATGCCATACTCCAGCCACTCCAGAATACAGATATACCACAACTTGCTCTATTTCAGACCAGAAGCACAGCGAATGAAAACTTACTGCCTTGTGAACTGTGTGGCATCTGTCTCATTTCTGGTAGGCAACAGATCACAAGTTGCTGGTACCCCCTTCAGATGTCTCAGCAAAACAGCCTGTTAATATTAGTGTGCTGGTTTTGGCTGGGATAGAGTTTACTTTCTTCATAGTAGCTAGTATGGGGCTATGTTTTGGATTTGTGCTGGAAACAGTGT